AGTCCATCTCTTCCTTTCCAGCTTCTCCACCACCATGTCTTTTCTTGAGGTCGTTGTAACTGTGAGGCCCAGTAAGGAATGGATGGAATGGGCCTGTGGTCAGGAGATGATGGTCCTTCTCTGTGGCACCCCTAGTATTTATTGTCCTAGTTCCAGTTCTCTCCAGGGAGCCCAGAGTCAACTATAGAATGTTTAGTGTTTGCTACATCTCATCGCTGGGATTTTTTTTTTTTTTTTTTTTTTTCATTTTAAGTAAAATAGGTTCTGCTCAGCAAAACTGTCTCTGGCTTTTGGGTTATCAGGCTGGAGGAAAACAGCCTGGTTACTTATACACACACACACACACACACACACACACACACACACACGGAGCACAATCAGCTGTTGAGCTACAAGCTAGTACCAGGCATTTTAGTTTGCAAACAGCGCCCCCTAGAAGGCCGCTTCATTCTCGCGAGCTCTGCCCTGCTGCCCGGGACCATCTCACCTGCAAGATGTATTGCTTCAGTCTTTGGTTTTTAACTTTTTTTATTTTTTTTGGCGGAACCGGGGATTGAACTCAGATCCTTGCATTTGCCAGTCAAGCGCTTATCCTACTGAGCCATCTCCCTGGCCAGTCTTTGGTTTTTGTTGAGCACCGCGTAGATTTCTGGGGTCCCTGGCTTCCTGCCTGCAGTACTGTGGGGTGCTGTGCACGCTGCAGCTTCTTCTGCCCTCTTGGAAGTTGGGGCGCAGAAAGAGGGTTGATGTGGTTAGAAACGTTGCAGTCCAGTCCGGCAGCACGGAAGCCAGGAATACTTGGTGTGGTCCAAGCAGCAGGGGCAGCTTGGAAGCCTGGGACCAATCACAGGTGATTTCGAACTGCGGTCATGTGGATCTGCTGTTCGGTTTTGGTGGGAGGTGGTACGGGTGGCGGGTGGATTGGATCGAGTGCTTATTGTGGAAATTGTTGCCCTGATGTGTAATGTACTTTAATGCTACCTACATAAAAAAATGTGTGACTGAGTCCAATAATTAAGTATATTGTGATCATAGTAGATCATGGTTTAAAAAATTAAACTCTGTGTTGTTGGATCATCAATTAATAGTACTGTAAATAAAAACAGAAAAGTGAAGGTGGACATTTTCCTTTATTCTTTTTCACAGGGGCAATTAGAAGGTGAGGGGTGGCCGGGGGATGGCTCAGTGGAATAAGCACTTCCCTGGCAAGCGCAAGGGCCTGAGTTCTAATCCCCGGTTCCACTAAACAAAAAACAAAGCAAGGAAGAAGTACTCATTGTGGTCGGGCTGGACTAGATTCTGATCAAAGACCCCAGGCCTCCTTTTAAGGGGGCCTGGCCCTAGCTCAGTTCTTTAAGTGGCTGCTTCCACAAAGCTGTCAGCCTCAGGTTGCTGTAGTTGATCCCCACAACACTCCTGCCCTGAAGGCATTCGAGGAGAAAAAAAGAAGGTGAGGGGTTTTAACCCTTTCCTATTTTCTGTATGTTTAGCTCCATATGTTTTTCATTTAGTGTACAATACACATTGCAGGCTCCATATGAGTACAGTGCCAACACTGATGAACCCATTCTCTGCATTAACTGCACCTCTGGTCACTTGGGAACCTGGCCACAAGCCAGGACTGGACCGCAAGCCAGAACCCCACCACAAGCCGGCCTCAAAAGTGCTGAGGAGAAGCCGCAGTGGATAGGAGCATGCGTGGTTTCACATCTGTGACAACAGAGCAGAATGCATGGGGCAGCGGTGGACCGCAGAGGAGGGTCATTTTCCAAATGTGATGCTGGCCAACATTTTATTTTATTTTTTGCAGAGCTGGGGATTGCACTCAGGCCCTTGCGCTTGCCAGGGAAATGCTTATTCCACTGAGCCATCTCCCCGGCCCTGGCCAACATTTTAAAAGAAGTTTTAAAAAACCTTGTTTTTTGTCCTCTATAGGAAAAAAAAAAAAGAAGGCCCATTACCTATTTGTTGTTTTCAAGTTTTAGATGCCAGGGCAAGTCTCTGGTAGTCAAGTGGCTTAATGACTCTTAAAAATTCTTTAATTTTTCTCAGCACATGTTTGCAGCCTGCGGATCACATTCACCGTGGGGAGCTGGTAGCTGTGTGTAATGCCTCCTCATCTCTTTTAGCTCGCCTTGCCCTCCCCTCCTTCCACCTCTCGGTCTCCCCCAGATCCATCTCCTTTTTGTGCTCTGTGTCATGGCATGAGTCCAGAACCAGCATGCACTTATCTTTGTAGCTCTGAGCACGCTGACAGGCTCACCACTGGCCTCAACAGATGGGGCATAAAATAGTGAGTGAGGGAAGCAGTCCTCGTGTCCTGATGAGCGGACCACTCCAGTGTGCTGGAGACTCGCAAAGGGACACTGTGTAGCCTTGGAAAGAGAAGAAATCCAAGGGGCCGGGGAGATAGCTCAGTAGAATAAGCACTTGCCTGGCAAGCACAAGAGCCTGAGTCCCCGGTTCCGCCAAAAAAAAAAAGATGCATATGCTCTGAACATCCTACTCCTCCAAAAGTCGAGTCTTTCCTAAATCAAAGTAAGTTGAATCAATTTTCTTGATGCGAAAGTAAATAAAGCCAAAAAAA